TGTCCCTTCCCTCCCCTCCACTCCGACATCTAGCCCAGTGAGTGTTGTTCTCTTCCCTGTGCCCAAGTGTTCTCATTGTTCATCACCCACCTATGAGTGAAAACATGTGGTGTTTGGTTTTCTGTTCTTGTATCAGTTTGCTGAGAATGAAACTTTCCAGTTAAATTCACAGGTCTTTATTCCTTACATTGCCAATATCTTCTGCCTCATAACCACTTAAAAAGTATGATTTGGATCAGCAACATTGGCATCACCTAGGATCTTGTTAGAAATTTAGAATATTTGACCCATCCAAGACCTGTTGAATTAGAATCTGCATTTTTATTAATATCCACAGGTGATTTATATGCATGTTATATTTTCAGAAACACTTACACTTTCAACACATTTTTTCTCTTATCTGCAGCTGAATCATTAATAAGTCACTCGTTTGCTTTCTTAGTTAAGCTGGCTTTCAGCACTCGGCACTCATGTATTTGAGTGCTGGGTCAGGCTTACAGGTGGCTGCTCATCTGTGCCAGCCATATCAGATTGCATGGGACATACTGGGAGTTCCAGAAGCAGCATTAGAGAGGACTGTGTCACCATGAGAAGGGGAGTCTCATGAAAAGTGGAAGTCTAGTCCAGTGATCAAATGTTCTGCCTTCAGAATAAAATACTCTTTGTTAATAACTTCTATATATCACTTTGAGCAGTGTGACCACCCAAATGACAATCGAATGAGTCAAAACCTCATTTTCTTAACTACAAGATGAGTACAATAAAACACTTACTTTGCAAGTAGTTGTGTTGATGAAGAAAGAAAGTACATCCTTGACACAGTGTATGTGCTCAATAGCTTGTTACAATGATCACTTGCACTGTGTTGAGTGATTTGAATTATATGCTCACGTGTATCACTAGTTTCTTAAGTATTCACACACTCACTTCTGATTTCATCACTAGGTATGAGATTTTTTTTACTGAACACTTTTATTCATTTAATGAATAATGGGTTCCTTCTAAGTTCCAAAACCTGTGCTACATGTATTACTGCAACTTGACGTTACTGTCATTAGTGAACCTACAGTGTTATGTATGGGCCTGTAAATATGAAGACTTCTTTATATTTCTTTGCTTTTTTCAATTTGTTGGTCAATTTGTCAACTAACAAATAAAAATTGTATATATTTATTGTGTACAGAATATTTTGAAATTTCAGGAGGGTTTCATTTATCAACAATTCTACAATAGAACCTCAAGAACACATCTGAGTGACTGAAGAACTATGCTCTATGGGAGGTTCTCTGGTCACCTTCCTTCAATGGGATAGGGAGATTTAACCTGATTTTTAACCATCCTGAAGAAGCCTACGTTCAGAATGCCAGAGAAAATGTGAGAGACTCAGGGAATTTTTTTTATTTTCTCTTCTTTCAAATCTGCTATGCGTTTTGAATAAGTTTTATTAGCATTTCACATCATTTCTTTCATTGTGACTCCACTGAGCTTAGGTTTTTGAATTTATTCAGAACATTAAACATATATTGATGATATTATTGATGAAGATCTGCTGGTAATGATAAGCAGCATGCCTCACTTAATACATAATCTGACTTAAAAGTTAGATTAAATATTAATATATTTGTCATTTCCATGGAAAGAGTTTTATATTTCCTAAACCCTGGTTTATTAATCTTTGAAATGAGAATCTAATGAGGCCTATATAATCATGACATTTTAATGAACAAACTCATATTTTACAAAGTTGATAGAGATTATCGGGAATAACCGTCTCTATACCATATTTGTCTAACAATAAACAACCTTGTTTCCATAGGCAGTCTTAAATCCATCTTGCCTTTTTCAGATTAACCACACTCTGTTTTCCAAGTTTATCACAAATATCTTGTTTTATTAATTCTTCTTGTTGATGTTCCATTGTTTACCTGTGTTCTGTTATATAGCACACACATGACAATAACATCAGCAAAATGATTATTTATATGCTCATTTGACCACATACATTATGATTTATATTACAGTCCTATATTCCTTATGGTGAAATGGGTGCTGCTTTTGGTACCTTATTAATCTATATTTTTATTTTCTTTATTCACTGAATTCGTATTTATTTTCATAGAGGTTTAATGGTATGATGTATGAATCTTAAGTATACAGCTTAGTGAATTTCAAAAAGTGAATATATTTGTATTACCCAGATGTCAGTCAAGAAATAGACATTTCATTCCCAGGGAAATTTCCACTGTGCTCCTTTAGCAACAATTCTATCATGACAGAAGCAACAATTATACTCATTGCTTTCTATAAATTAGCTTTCCCTGTTCTTGAGCCTCATATAGGACTACCATTTGGTTTCCCGCATCTTTAATTCAACATGTTTTTAATGTTGTCTGTTTTGTTGCGTGTGTCAGTAACTTGCTCTCTGCTGCTGTTGAGTAGTAGCCGTCTATCTGTCTATCTATCTCTCATCTATCTGTTGACCTGCCTCCACATATATATCATGTTGTTTACTTCCGTTGATGAATTATTTTGTTATTAGATTTGAAACTTAATTTTTTCTACTCATTAATAGTGCGACTTTGGCATGTTCTTTCACCTCTTTGAGTCTCATTGCTTTAACCTATAAAATTTTTATACTGTATTTTAATCTATACCAAAGGTATAAAATACAAAATTGCTTTATAATAAGCCCTCAATTATTGTACATTTTAACAAATTATTTCATTATCTTCCAATTTGTTACTTTTATTTTTATTTTGTATTTTTCTTGGAGATAGGATCTTACCCTTTTGTCAAAACTAGAATGCAGTGGCTTGATCACGGATCAGTGCAGCCTTGACTTCCCAAGCTCAAATGATCCTCCCATCTCAGCCTCCTGAGTAGCTGGGACAACAAGTGAGCATGACCATGCCCAGTTTGTTTGTTTGTTTATTTATTTATTTGAGATGGAGTCTCACTCTGTTGTCCACACTGGAGTGCAGCAGTGGCACAATCTCGGCTCACTGCAACCTCCATCTCCTGGGTTCAAGTGATTCTCCTGCCTCAGCCTCCCAAGTAGCTGAGAATACAGGCATGCACCACCATGGCTGGCTAATTTTTTTTGTATTTTCTGTAGAGACTGGATTTCACTATGTTGGCCAGACTGGTCTCGAACTACTGACCTCATGTGATCCTCCTGCCTCGGCCTCTGAAAGTGCTGGAATTATAGGCTTGAGCCACCGCGCCTGGCCCAGTTGATTTTTTAAAAAACTGTTTTGGAGAAACGGAGTCTTCCTGTGTTTCCAAGACTGGTCTCAAATTTCAGGGCTCAAAGAATCCTCCTGCTTCTGCCTCCAAAAGCAGTAGGATTACAGGCATAAGCCACCATGCCCTGACAGTTTCCATTCTTAAAACCTGCTGTTTGGTTTTGTTTTCATCATGGGGCATCTAGAAGCTGTGGGGTTAGTCAGAAGTAATAAAACCTTTCCTATCCTATTTATTTTCTACCAGATTTCCACTCTATGCAGGGTCATTTCATGCCATCTGGTTTATTTGGAGGAACCGTCAGGGATAAGTCAGAGAGAAGAAAAGTGTCCTGGCAAATCCTGTACTCTGAGAACTGGTGCAGCAGGTAGACTTGTGGTTTCTAGAAGACGAACTCCTGGAGGATAAATGGAACTCCATCTGTCTCCTCTGTGTCTTCCTTATGTGAGAGAGGGGTTCAGGTCTGGGAACCCATAAAGTGCTCAATAAATGCAGGCTTAATTCATTTCTCCTAATGTCCCCAGGTCTTTGTCTCTGCTTAATTTCTGTATCTCTGTGAATGCAATAATAATTATAAGGCAGGTCTTATTAATTGTGACTTACAGTGTACCAAGCCAAGTTCAATCTCTGCTACCATATTATGTGAATATGATTAATTTTCCTAATTTACAGAGAAAGAGGCTTTATATTGTTAAATAATGTGCTTGAAGTATAACAGCTTTTAAGTAGCAGAGTTAAGATCCATTTCCAGAGTAGTGTGATTTCTTTTCTTTTCTTTTCTCTCTCTCTCTCTCTCTTTTTTTTTTCTTTTGAGATAGAGTTTTGCTCTTGTTACCCAGGCTGGAGTGCAATGCATGATCTCAGCTCACTGAAACCAGGAAAATTCAAGCAATTCTCTTGCCTCAGCCTCCCGAGTAGCTGGGATTACAGGTGCCTGCCACCACGCCTGGCTAATTTCTTCAATTTTTATTAAAGACCGGGTTTCACCATGTTGATCAGGCTGGTCCTGAACTCTTGACCTCAGGTAATCCACCCACCTCAGCCTCCAAAGCACTGGGATTGTAGACGTGAGCTATTGCACCTGGCCCAGTTGTGTGATTTCTAAGGCAATGAGCTGAAATATTTTACTATGAGATATATATGTATATGTATCTATACATATACATCTATAGATGTGTGTGTGTATAACTTATTATCAGTGCTTTGTTTTCTTCAGCAAATAGCTATTAACTGTCTCTTTCTGTGTTTTTCTGGATCTCTTACATAGATATTGGAGATTTTCATAATCTGATCTGGATCTTTATTACAGCTGACATTATTTGTTTCCCTTGATTTTATTCTTTTTTCTCTTTTTAGCTTCTGGAGCAAGATTGTATGTCTCTGACCGGTAAAGTAATTATTCTATAGATAAATCTATAATGAGTTGTTCACACACCTCCTGTTTCTTGCTTTTTTCTCCATTTTAAAAAATGATGCCCCCTATACTCTGAGACTGACCTGTATTTCCTTAACCAAGCCTGTGGCCTGGGATGCTGAAGACCATCAGGTGTGAATTGAGAGTAAAAATAAATCCCATGGCTGCTTTTGTCACCCTTGCATGCTGGTCACTCTGCCCTCAGCAGGTATGGACAATGACGACATTTGCAGATTCAAAGAAAGGGCAAACTGGCAGGGTGAGTCATTGGATGTTGCTGGCACAGCTATAAAGGTCCGGTGGCCCAAGTTGGGTACATGAATTCAGGCAGTGGGACAAATGAGTGTTTGCCATGCAGCTCGCCATCTTAAGAGTTACTGTCTTCTTGCCCTGGTGTTTCACCATTCCAGTGCCCCCTGATACAGATCATAAAGGATGGGACTTTGTTAAGGTAGGTGAACTACTCAGGATCACATTATTACATGATGACCATTGTGGGCTCTTATTTCATGTGTGTGTGCATGGCATAATGATAAATAATATTATATATGAAAACACTTTATTCAATCTATGTGTTCACTTTTCTCTTCTAATTTTAAGAAAAATTTTAAATTTTTATAGCCTTTAAAAGTAATTTTGGGCCCCAGGCATTGTGCCTTCTGTGCCTAATTCAGCCCCATTACTGAGCTTTCACTCTCTTTGTCTTCTATATGGCATAGAGTGAACACTCCAGCATATGGGTCTCTGAGCCTGCTAGGTAGTGAGAGATCAGGGGAGATAATTCAAATGAATTAATGTGACTTTCATATTGACTGAGTAATCTCCCAATCAGTCTACCATACACTGTCAATTTCTTAAAAAATTATGAATTGTTCCAAATTGTTTAAGCATCCAAAATACCTAAACATTGTTAAAACTGCTTGCAGTCATGTATTTTGTAATTGTACAGGAACCTAGTCAAATTTCCTCCTAATGCTTATCCAGAAAAATTCAAAAAGTCATTTGCTTCTGAGTGCCCAGCTCAGCTGATAATAAAACAAAGGCATAAAAATGCAGTGATATAATTGAAAAAAAGAAGCAATCAATAGGTTTACATCAAGTACTATCGTAAGCATTGTGGAATAGATCAAGCTGCATCAGACATGAGCATTGCCCTTAAACTCTTTTGAGTCCAGCTAGGCTTCAAATGTAAATAGAGAAAGCCTAATTACAATACAATGTGCTTCTTTTTTATATACATATAGACGTTTAGATTTAATACAGTAGACTGGCAGAAAAATCACTGGAGACAAAGAATAGGAAAGGATGAGCTCTTTAAAAGTAGTTTAATGAAATGGAATGTGTAAATGCAAATAAAATAAGGAATGCAGAACCAGTAAATTTTATGTCCTGGAGTCACTGATTCTGTCCTGATTAAGAAAACCTTCATCAGTCAGAAAGATCAAAGGCCATCTTCCCCTGGCAATTCCCAGGTAATAACTTCATGATGTTTATACTTGGGATTCTCTATCTGAAAACTTGGAAGCGTTGTCTTTTAAACATTTTTACAGCTTATCCAGGTTATTTTTATTCTGTCCCCTATCCCTAATATCATTTCACTGTGGCATGAAGAATCAGGGACGGCTGCCATCCTCTGAGTGAAAACAGGAGACTTAGGAAGGCCAGACTAAGCACCATCCTTCTGAGACCCTCAAAGAAGGCTATGCCCAGGGTAGCTGATATATTGGTCTTCCCTATTGACTTTTAGTGCTCATCCTTCTTGATCTAATTCAGGACTATTTCCATCAGTTTTTCCTGACCAAGAAGGAGTCGCAACTCGAGACACAAACACAGCTCCTGCAACAATTCCATCAGGATGGGACAGGCCTACTTGATATGCAGATGCATGCTATGCTGCACCAGCCCCGCTGTGGGGTGCCTGATGGATCCAACACCTCCATCTCGCCAGGAAGATGCAAGTGGGATAAGTACACTCTGACTTACAGGTGCTTGTTATTAAGGCCTAGAGGATAATAAGTGGGGTGATGACTACAAAGGGCTTTCCACAAGGTCTCTCCTGGGGCACCTCTATTGTCTTCCGCTTTCATTGGCAGCCTGCTCAAAGCCCAAAATCGCCCTCAGAGAAGGCAATACTCCCACATCCTCTTCTAGCTTCCTCCAATCATCTCTTTAGAAAGTGGAGCATAACTGTCAGATGATTTCTTATTACTGATTATTTTCCTTTTCTTCTTTTGTGTTATAATTTAAGTTCTGGGGTACATGTGAAGATCCTGCAGGTTTGTTACGTAGGTATACTCAACTAGTAATACTAAATACACAAACAAACAGGATATTACCAGACTGTATTTGCAGTTTGTAAACCATGCTCATCTCAAGTAGAAAGACCAAAACACAAAACTAGCAACAAAATAATAAAAACAAAACTTTTCAAGACATAGCATAATAAAAACTAATTCGAAAAAACAAAAAGTTAAAAACTGAAAGATGAAAAAAAAAGTAGAGCATAACCACTATCCTGCCCTTTGTTTTGTTGGCACTTTGTTTTCACTATCCTTTTACTTTCTTTTGAATTTTAACGTGTCGATATATGGATGATTCTAAGATACAATTTTGAAAACTTAACTTCTGCCTAGGTTACTCTTTCTATTGGGGATGCTAAATATATTTTAGATATCTAAAGTAAAACAGCACTAAATTACGTAGAATGCTATACATCTTAATTTATGTAGAATACTATACATTTACTTTAATTTAATTTAGTTCACATTGTTTTATTTAATTATTTTTTCCAGAACCATCAGATAGGGCTGTCGTTCTTAGACTTTAGCCTAAGAATAATGTGGGCTATTGTTAAAATTCTTAGAAACCTATATTTGCATGTTTAATTCCTTAAGTTTCTGATTTAGTTAGTCTGGGATTAGCTCAACTTTATAAATAAGCAAAATGAGTCCTAAAACTATTAAATGATTCTCCGCAAAGTAGAATTATTCATATTTATAGCTAGGATAATTCCCATACCTCTGAACTATTCCATTTAGAGATTACTTTCTTCAGGATTATCAATCACCCACAGGATATGAAGCCATCCACAGTGAAAGACAGTATATATAATGCAGTTTCTATCTGGAGCAGTGTGACTACTCTGATATTCCAGCAAGTGCAGAATAAAGACGCAGACATCAAGATTTCTTTCTGGCAGTGGGGTAAGAAATTGACGTGGGAAGAAGGATATGTATATGCCCTGTGTAAAGGACAAAGGGTTTTCATACTTAAATAAAGACCCAGCCCGCATATTCAAGTTTCTGGGAAAGAAAAAATCAGACAAAATCCTAATGCAAAGCAAATCCTGCAACACAGGAGACACTTTTAGTACGTGAAGCAATAAATAAAGAGGTAGTGTTGGCTGCACTGTGAATATTGTGGGGGAATTGCACACTTTCCTTTCAAAAAGATGATGCATAGCTCCTAAATCTAATGAAATGCTATTCAAAGTTGATCCAGTCTACTTGTAAAAACTTGTAAAGTTTAAATTCTCTTTCTCATTTTCCTTATTATTTTGGGAAGAGGTTATTATTATTTCTGTCTAACTTGTAAGCTTGACTCAGTGTCTGCTATCTGTCTGTCTTTCTTTTTACCCTAGATAAGAGAGTAGTAAAATGTTTGACCCACCTTATTTCTCTGTATACATAATGCCTTGGCCCTCTCACACCCCAGTGGTAGACTGATGCACAGTATCCTGTCTCTGAGGTTTACTTAAGACTATTCTGGCCCTTGTTTCTCCCTCCACCCCCACTTTTATCATAGCTTCTGTCATCCACAGACCATGAAGGTTGTTGGCCCTTTGATGGGCCAGGTGGTTTCTTGGGCCATGCCTTTTTACCAGATTCTGGAAATCCTGGAGTTGTCCATTTTGACAAGGATGAACACTGGTCAGCTTCAAACACAAGTAAATTCCTTGTTTTGTGGGAGTGCTAGAACTCTCTGGGAACCTGGGGTTCAGTGTTGATGGTCTCCATTTAGGGATCCAGAGTGGTCAGGGTGAGGTAGAAGATTTGGCTGAGGAAGAGGTCTTCTGTAAGTGGAGAGCAATGGGATCATTTCTGAACACAAATGCACCCATAATAAACACATTGTCAAATTGTGTTTTTTTCTTCTTATCTTTTTGCTTGCATTTATCAACCTCTTAATTCTGTCCATCTGTCTTTTTCCCTTCAAGTTTATCTGTTCAAATATCTTACCATTCTGGTTTCCATTTAGCCTCCTCTTTCACTCCTTGCCCACTTTTGCCTTTTCTGTCTAACATTTGCCCTTTTCTTCTTTTCTGTTTTCTCCTTTTTCTTGGTTCTTTTTCACACACTTTCCGCATTCCCTATACAGAGTTAATGTTATCTTTTTTCTTCTACATTTTTTCAGGATTTAATCTGTTCTCGGTTGCAGCTTATGAGATCGGGCATTCTTTGGGCCTGAAGCACTCTGGGAATCGGAACTCCATAATGTACCCCACTTACTGGTATCACGACCCTAGAACCTTCCACCTCAGTGCCGACGATATCCAAAGGATCTAGCATTTGTATGGTCTGTGCTGCTCAAGGAAGAAAAGGGGGATCTGGGCAGGAAATTCCAACTGAATTTTACTGTTTTTTGTTTGTTGTTTTCTGTTTCCATAGGAGAAAAATGCTCAGCTGGCATGCCCTAATGCTGGCACAGAGGGCTTATTCAGCCGGTCCTTTCAGAAACTTCACTGGAGAATCATAGAACTCAAAGCACCAAAGCAGCCTTGAGGACAGCTAGGACGAAGCCCTAAAGAATGCAACCTAGTCAGGGCAGCTCAATCAACACTCAAAACACTACTGAGCCACAATAAAGATTGTTTTGAAGAGTAACATTTTTTCCTCACAATTTGATATGTCTCAGCATTTACTATGTTCAACCACTGTGATTAGAACAAGAAAGAAGTATATACTACCGTGGAGAACTCTGGCAGAAATGGCCATGGGACTGCAAGAAAAGAAAGCATAAGCTTAGGAATAGACCTTCGCATTTTACTACATAGGTATAATAACATTAATAAATGTTATTTTCTATACTGTATTTAATATGCCAGCTATAGAGACCAATTGGTTTAGTGGCTTTTCTAGTTCTTAGGTATGAGACTTTGGTTAAGTCATTTAACTTCTTTATGACTAACTTTTTACATTTGTTAAATAATTGTCATAACTTTACTATCATAGGGGTAAATTATATAAAATGAATGTAACCACTTTAGTCAGCTTTTGGAAACTCAATTTTAGGCATCATTGATATTATTGTAGAGATATTAGACACAAATTTCTACTGTTCAGTCCACCCTTTGGCTGCTTGTGTTTAGGGAAAGCAATCCTAGATGAAGAGTTGAGAGTGGGTGGGTCAGTACCATGTACTCAAACACAGAGTAGAAGCCGTGAAGAGCTACCACAGGTGTTACAATGAAGGATCATCCCACTCACCTAGCCAGACATAAGCACTTATCTTCCTATTTGGAATCATGACAATTGGGAGGATCTTCTGACACAATGTATTATTCCAATTCAAACAGTGTCCCTGTAGTAATAAAAAGCCTGAAATGAGGAAATTAAATTTTGGGTGGTAAGCTGACGTGAAGACATTCTACCTGAGGATGTAAAACTAGTACCTTAAATATAGTATTCAAAATAGATCAGGAAAGATTGTATTAAGGAGAATCTAAAAAAGGAAAAGAAATAAACAAAAAAAAAAAGACAAAGCCAAGTGAAAGGAATATCTTATAAAGAAAATAGTTTAATGTCAGTGTTTTCATTATCAATGAAAAGCTAATATGATCAGTTCAGTGTAGATACCTTTTGAAAATGAAAATACAAAGAGTATTTGGGACTAATTTCTAAAGAATGCATATTTCTCTGTATAAAATAAAATTTTGAGTTCCAAAGAGCAACTGGAGGAAAGTATATTAGAGAGAAGTGAGCAAAATTGGTCAGAACCCTTTGGGTTATAGGGTATCACAAGATCACAGATATACTTTCTCCTCCTCCATGGTTTGTCTCACCTTGAGACAACCATGTCCCTGAGGCCACATCCTTCCCAGGGCATCCCACATAAAGTGAATGAAGTAAGCAAGAGTGTAAGTCCCTTTGTGGGCCAGAGAGCCACACGGTGTTGGCCAAGACTTTGTCAGGCCTGTTTTGCAGTTTAGCTTTATCCTTTGCCCAACCCTGCTCCTTCCTCTTTACGGGTTTCAATTCCTAACAAGTCCTTTGCATCTAAAACTCTCTCTTTGTATTTGCTTTTGAGAACCTAACATCTGAAAAGTTGACAGTTTGAAAGATCAATGAAACTATGAATCTACTAGAGACTAGTAGTATAAAAAAGAAACTGCATATCAAACCAACATGAGTTATGAGGAAAGCAGATACCATGCGATTACTGCAGACATTGAAAAATTATGAAGGTACTTAGTGAAAAACTTTTAGCCAATAAATATCAAAATGTATATCCAAACTACATATTTCTAGATAAATAAAATTTACAAAAATAGGTAAAGGAATAAGTAGAAAATCTAAACAGTCCTATAAATGTTGGATAATGTCATCCTTAATTACATCTCTCCACAACTAGTTTTAAAGCTGACAGAGAAAAACTGAATTGTCTGTAAGGATTAACTAGCAAACCTATAATTAAAACTACCCTGGGATGGCCATTTAATTTATAAATATATAAAATACCAGGAAATGCAAAATCTCCCTGGGGAGAACAGAAAGAATATTTCTCAAGGTATTTTAGAGCTTTGCTAATCTCATAGCAAAGCATGACAAAGACATTATTGTAAAGAAAATTTCAGGGTGCACTTACTGATGAACATTGATGTCAAAATCCTAAACAAAATATTTGCAAATCAATTCTGGTAATCAATAAGGAAAAGACAATGGCATTCTCAACTTGAGTTTATTCCAGAAAGACAATTTTAATATTTGAAAATTAATCAATATAATCACATTAATAGGATATTAAATAAAAATAATATGGCCGATCAAAACATGAATTTCAATAAACCTAAAATAATTTTGTAAGATTCAGCATCTATTTTTGACAAAAACTCTTATCACTTGAGCAATAGAAGATGACCGCATTCTCTCATAAAAGCAGATACAAAAAATCTTAGCAAACATGCTTAATGGTAAAATGTTTGATAACCACACCTGTGATATCTGCAAAAAGAAGATAAAACAATTTTTATCCCTTCTTACTCAACTGCACTGTAGACCTTATCCAATGCAAAAAAGCAACACATATAGAGAAAGATAATGAAGATTTTAAATAAGAGGAAGAGAAACTGACATTACTTGTGGAGGTGTGATTTGGTACAAAATAAGCCCTAATGAGACTACAGATCACTTATTAAAAATAAAAAATAAGTTTAGCAGTTTTTCTGAAAAAAGACAATTGACTTTATTTTATCAGTCCCAAAGATTTAGAAAAAAATAATTAATCATGCTATTGACATTAGCACAATTGAATGTCAAGTAAATGAGAATAAACCTAGTATAAAATGTGTAATCTCCAAACAGACAAGTATACAATAATATTGAAAAAAATAAAGACTTTAAGTAATTGAAGTCCTGTTCTTGGATTAGACATCTTTTTTCTAAACATTTAAATTCTCCCCAAATTGATCTATAGATTCAATATGTTTTCAATAATAGTCCCAATATATATCTTGGTAGAAATGGATAATCTGTTTCCAAAATTATAAATAAATGCAAAGAGGTAGGATAACCAATATATAAGGAAAAAACTGTGTTGGGGAATCGTGCCTCATACCAAGCACTGGGGAAGTAGCAATGAACTAGATAGTGGCTTTTGCCTTTAAAGTGCTTAGTATGGCTCCTTGAACCCTGTTGCTTAATAAATGCTTAATAAGCACACAACAAATAAACAACTCTGTTCAGTGAAATGTAAAAAACACCTTATAATGGAAAGACTTATCATTGTACTTCATCACCATTGTTCTGTACAATGCCCCCAATTAAAGCTGAAATTTCAGTATTCTTCTGGGCCAAAGTAATTATCATGAATTTACTTTCTTACACTCATTTGAGAAGAGAAAACCATTACATTTGAAAAAAGAACTAAGAATGGTGGATGAACAGAAGGATGCTTTCCTACTACTTTTGGTATTATGATCATATGTTTTTGCCATATCTGTGGTTAAGGGCTTTTTATGGTCATTTCATCTCTGGGGATCCAGCAGACTCTGACACCAATCCCTAATTTTCTACCCCAGGAGAAACCAGTAGTATTTATAGACATGGTGGAAGCATTCAAGCCTCACTACTCACAGAGTCAAAGGTTTTCAAAACCTGAGGTTCATATAGAATCAAAATTGTAGCATCTTTAATCAGTACAGGTTTGACTTTCAGATAGAGATGGGAACTTTTCTTAGGTGAGAAATAAGCCAATGAGAGCAAGGACTTAAAACCATAGAAATGCAAAGAAAAATTAGAAGAAAGAAACAGCCAATCAAAGGGACTGGAAAAGATAGAGGATTACGTGCTAAAAAGACACAAATTTAGATAAAAACAAAATAGAAAAAATGGCAGCAGGAAGGAGACTAGAAAAGATAGGAAAGATATTTTGTCATATAAAATGAGACAAAATGAGAGAAAACCACAGAAATAGGAACAGAAAGAAAATATGACTTTACCTATAGTGAAGAAAAGTTTAGTCAGAGGAAGACAAAATGGAACTGTGGATCATTTGGGAAATGGGCTACTGATTGCAAATTAACTAGGGACATTGATGCAATTGTCTTGTGTTTAAATTTCAGGTAAGTGTTAATTTTTAAATTATAAATAAATAGTCGGTAGATTTTGGCATATTTGTATATGGATATAGTTTGCTAACGAGAGTAAAATTAGGCTGGGCATGGTGTCTCATGCCTGTAATCCCAGCACTTTGGGAGGTCAAGTGGGGTGGATTGCCTGAGGTCAGGAGTTTAAGAACATTCCGGCCAACATGGTGAAACCCCATCTCTCCTAAAAATACAAAAAAGGTAGCTGGGTGTAGAAATGGAAACTCTTTTTAGGTGAGGGATAAACCAATATGAGCAAGAAAATTAAAACCCAGCTACTCGGGAGGCTAAGGTAGGGGAATTGCTTGAGCCAGGGAGGTGGAGGTTGTAGTGATCTGAGATTGTGCCACTGCACCCCAGTGCGAGGCTCTGTCTCAAAAAAAAAAAAAGAGAGAGAGTAAAATTATGAGAACGACGATGTACCATTTATGCAAAGGGAAAAAGAATTGTCATCTGTGAAAAAGTTTTAAATTTATTACAATATTATAGTATCTTATTCCAATTATCTTCAGCAATTTTAAGATAAGCCATAAGCTGATTAGTGTAGAATAGATTTTGAGAACTGCAGCTAAGATGCTAGAGAGGCTATTAAAAAACGATCTTCTCCTCACTAGTTCTCCCTTAATTACCTGGAATAGGTGAATGTGTGACACAAACCTATTCATGCCTCTGCTCTTTGAAACAGTCTTGTTATTACTCCTA